ATTCAAAACTGAAACTAGGACATGGAACCTTACCTCTTTGATGAAGAACTTGTGAGTTTCTCCTTGAGAATTCTCTAACTTTGAGCAAGAATTGATGGACAATTATCTTAGGAACTTCCCCTCTCACTCTAGATCACTTTCCTCTCTCTAAATATCAGTTAGGACCAGCCAACCCACAAGTTGTTATTATAAAAATCAGATCGGGTAAAAAATTTCAAACTTGAACTCTACGAAGCCGGGTCTACGGTCGCAAAACAGATGTGCAGCCCACGAAGGGGACCGCACAAAAGGGTCCCAAAACTGGGCTATTCTGGTTGGGTCTGCCGCAAGTCTGCGGTCCGCAGACTAGTTCTGCGGTCGCATAATGCGCCGCATAACTCCTCTCCGAAAATCTTCATGCTGGATCTGCAATGGATGTGCGGCCCGCGAAACGATTATATGGTATCATAATTGACCGCAAAATTTCATTCAAAATTTGACCAGTTCTCTGCTTCACTCTGCGGCAGATCTGCGGTCCACAGATCAGTTCTGCGACCGCAGAATGGACCGCGAAAAACGCCTTGTTCTGCCCAAAAAAAATTTCAACTCCCCAACGTACTGTTCAACCCAAAAAGTATGTACCGCTGCTCGCAAGCTAGCCGCGAAGAATCTCTACAATCATCAACACATAAGTCTATTTTGGCATCACGAAACCCCGGGTTTTAGGTGAAATTTTACAGGGCCTTACAAGGCCTATACTGGCTAGCATACAATTAATTGTAGAAAATCATTGCTAAAATCTTAACGGCGGCTGGCGAGGGTGAGAGAAAGAAAAATGCCAAAGAATTGGCAAAACGTTTTCACTGTAAAAGCTTTGTCGAGAGAAACACAGTAATCTTTTCAAATGTTCTCAAATAAGAACGTTGTAATCTTTTCAAAAGTAGAATTCACATCATGTCCTGAGAATTTAAACTATAAAAGGAAAATATAACTAAAACTATTTTACTATGGAAAAACTAAATTCTTATGGGAAAAAATTACTATTATTTCTCTAACCCGTAGTTAGGTCTTATACAATGAGATAAAGAAAGTACTTGAATGAGGGAAAAAATAGTAGAACATTTAGCAATATTTGTAAGTTTAACATAAATATCTCAAGGTTAGATTATGTTATTAGTAACTTTTATTCGTTTACGGTTATTTAGGGAGACTGATCAATTCATGCAAATTCCGTTAAGACAGCTTTGGAAAATAAGGGGGGAAATTATTTAAAGTTGGAGTTACATAAAATTAACTTTTGTTTTCTCACAAATTCGCAAGTGTCATGGCTTATTTCTTGGGCACATGTATTCTCAAATATTTTCTTCTTACACGTGAAATTTATAGCATACCAAAAAATGATTTTTTTTGTAAAATACATAAACGGTCCCTTTTTAAGTTGTCCTCAACGATCAAACAGATACCTCAATCGATATCTCATATTGACATGGCAAATTACGTGTATTTTAGCTACATTTGAGCGTGTGAGACTTTTATCTGACCTGTTCTGTCTTGTTTTCTAGAATTAAATCAAAAATTTATACGTGGGTCCAACACTACATTATCATTTTTCCTCCCTCAAAAATCTTTGAGCAATAATACCAGGCCATTTTCACCCAAAACTGCATATGAACCTTCTTCACCCCAATATCATTAGCTCTACCACCTTAAACTACCACCTTACGCCATAAATTCACCACCTCTATTTCAATCTAAACGCAAAAAAGTATAAAAAAGACAAACAGAAGCCTGCATCGAGTTCAACCATGGATAAACTTTAAGGGTTTAGCTGTCGATTTCAACCGTAGATTTTCACTTTTCACTTTTACACAATGGACTATCAAGGTTCATCCATGGATGATAACCTTCAAGACACTGGATTTGGCTTTTTGAGTTCCTGATTATCCCTATAAATAGAGGCGAAAAGAGAAGAAATAGAGGCAGAATAGTGTAACAGAGCTTTGATAATCTTGGACGACATGAATGGTTCGACTAGCGAACTCGACACCAATGGTGGAATTAGATTACTGGTTGAATTCTTTTCTAGTAAAGTGAGAGAGCAAGTTGGATTTGCCAACCCATTTTCTTTTCCTTGTGGCTGTTGCTCTTTTACGTATATAATTGGAATATTTTCTGTCCTACAATGGCATTGAATTCGTTGAATTAGGGATGAGAGAGATAGGAGGTGAGGGGAGATTGGGCGGAAGGAAGATGAAGAATAGGTTTGGGGGAAGTTGAAAAGGTGCAGCAATGCCTTTCTTTAAATTAAAAAAAAAATGATTTTTTTTCTTTAAATATATTTCTTTGTTAATTACACATGACAAATTTCTAAATTACAAATTACGTCATTGGCAAGTGTAACTCACGTATATGGCCTGCTGCACTCGGGTGTCTACTTGATATAGTTAATAGTCACGTAAAGTGTTTAAATGGCAAAAGGGCCAGTGGAGGTGCCTGTTTGATCGTTGAGGACAACTTAAAGGGGTTGTTTACGTATTTCGCATTTTCCTTTTTTTAAACTAAAACTAATATTCTTTCACTCAATATAAATTGAAATTTATCTAATTGTAGCATATTTATTTCTAAAATCTTATAATTTTAGATTATCAATGCATATAAATTAAGAAAATAATTCTAATTGGCAGAACTTAAATATAGAAGAATTAATCAAAATACTCGCCCGCCCAACTGTTTAAACTGAAAATATCAGTTAAAAATATAACATATACATAATTTATATATTATATGTGTATAATTATGTATACTGAATGTATAAACTATGTATACGACTAGAAAAAGTAAACCATGAACATAGACGACTATTTATGTAAACATCCCTTAAATATAGTGTTATTGTCCCATGCGCAGCATGGGTTATCTTTACTAGTTTACGTAAAAATTGCACGGGGCGCCCTATTTGGTCGCCCTCATTTAACCTATATCCATTTTTTTTAAACTTTTAACTTGTACCCACTTTTTAAAAAACTTCAGCTCCCTTTCTTCTCCGCTTCAGTACCTCACCAGAAGAAAGCAAGGATCTAGATTGAGATCGATATGCATAAAAACAACATCACAAGCTGTGCAAAAGCTACCCTTTCACGTTCTTACTTTATTTTTTAGCTTTTCTTTTTTCCCTTCGAGAATTGGAATGACTGCTCTAGCTCTCTCCTCTGCTTTCTACCCACTAATCCAATCCCCAAGATGATACATGTATATATCCCTCTCTGACCTCTGTTTTTTTCTTGTGCCTTTCACGTTTTTAATTAATTTAAAAATATTTATACCTGCCTAGCTAATACAAGACGAGCAACTGTATGTAATATTAATAGGTGGTAAAAAAACTTCAGCTCTAGTATGTAATATTAATAGGTGGTAAAAAAACTTGAAGTTTCCCAGTTACAACAACTTCAGCTCTAGTATGTAATATTAATAGGTGGTAAAAAAAACTTCAGCTCTAGTATGTAATATTAATAGGTGGTAAAATAACTTCAACTCTAGAGCTGAAGTTTCCAGTTACAACACAAAAACATCAGCTAAGTTATGCGAAAAAGCGGGTACGCTTGCAAATTTTTTTGCAAAGCGGGCACAAGTTAAAATGTGACACAAAAAGCGGGTATAGATGCAAATGCCCCCTAGTTTACTTATGTAACACAAAGTCATTAGGAGAAAAAAATATATATATATTTCATATAATGCATAAGCCAAGTCGAAAGATCTTTTGATTACAAAAAAGAATTATTTAATAACTTTCTGTGATAGTGAGGCAAAGTTGAGTAAATTACTTTACAAAATAAAGTATTATTTTTTGTAAGTAAATATGGTGCAATAAAAAAAAGTTGAGTGACCATGTGTGAAATATCCCCTGGTATTTTTTCCGTGAAAAGAAATCTCCCTTCTCAAATAGTAAGAATGAAAAAAAAAAAAAAAAAGTTCTGTTCTACTATTTTAGGCAACTGAGTCGAAAATACAGCAACATTTGATCAATATCTAAAAATTGTAATGCCACACGGAATATATAAATATTGATGAAGCCATGACGAGGACTTTCCAAATATCGAGATGCTCTAATCGGTCGTAAGCAGAAATGGAGAAACTAGAGAACCTTTACCGTATGAGAGGTACTGGAAACTAGCAGCATGCCAGCATCTTGCGGTCACAAAGAACAAGAGAACTACCAGATTGTCACAAGATCCAGAAAACAAACCTATAACATGCTATGAATTCACTGCAAGGAAATGTGAAAATTTGCTATTACAGTGGGCAGAGTACAAAAGCATTTTGACATCAGCACAGTTTATAGACTATGCTGTTTCACAGAGGGTTGAGATTCAGTAAGTTCGACACATGCAGCAGAGCCAACGGCTTCTACAGGTTTTCCAACAGGAAATATCAACTTCTTAACCTCTACCGAACAAAACTACCACCAGTCCTGTACAAGATCTAGGCCTCTTTCAACTTGCGTTGGATGTACCTTGCGGCACCTCTTCGTATATGCCCGATTCATCATTATATGAGTACCTACATTGATCAAGCCAAAACAGTTGAGGAAGACGCTAGTATTGTCTTTACAAATTGCGGATGACCAGTCCAAAATAGAAAGATTGCAATAGTTGAATGTCATTACCATTGTCCTGATGCTGCATGACAATACAGTCCAGATGCTGGATCATAATAGTGGCCCAAACTGCTGCTGTAGTAATAACTGGTCGACAAAAAGAAAAAAAAGAAAAAAAAATTTAAGTTTGAGAGAGAACAATACCAAAAAATGCACTATGGTAACAGGTAATTAATGGCACATTCCGACTATCGAGACTTGGCAGCTTCTTAAACAATGGAATTGAAGTTCCAATACAGATTGAAAAACAGGAAGCATTCTTATCGCTATTGATATCTTCTATCTGCTCTTATCAAGTCAATAGGAAAGATTAGACAAGCAGGTAACTCATACATATTTTGGTAGTCCTTGCCACTGCTAAAACAAAGATGGATACCATATCATGCAAAGAACTATGCATACTACCATGAACTTCCATAACAAATATTAACATGTTTCGGAACAAGAGTTTTGTGGCCAGAAACTGACGAATGGAATGGGAACCTAAAAGGAATACTTCTGCCAATATTAACTTGAAAAGAATGTAGACACAGTATACGGGGACTAAGTATAAACTATGCCATTATTGGAATTTAGTGAACTCCAGAAAAATCAAGTTCAAATAGATTTAATGGGATCCTCTTCCTTTCGAACTACAACGTTGAATAGCTCTTTGACTAAACAACGGTGATCCCTACAATACTCGAATTTCAAAATGATACAATTTGATCTCTTAATTACCATGACATATGATACTGGAGGGAAAAGGTAGTGCAATGAGCTAAAAGGTAGAAAACATACCCAGAGGACTCATCAAAGACATAATCGCCATGCTGATCACCTACAGTTTACATTGAGTAGGAGTAACATATGTGGAAAGGGGGAAAAAACTAAAAAAAACTCGTCATCTCATCTTACGATAGTATAATGGACTAAATTTGTCAGTAATGTGAACTCTGAATGTGTTTAGGGATCAAATTACCTCCATTAGAGGCAGGATTAGCTGGAACATTTTCATCGTCTTCACCAAACATGTCATATGCATCATCACTCTTATTAGCTGAGTTATATGAATTCGACGAAGCCACATCTGCATTATGCATAGAATGTCCTCCTGCTGTTGCAGTTGACCCACTGGGAAGGAAATGTTCATCGAGGACATTATCGGGCTTAGGCTGCATCGAGTCAATAGATTTACCCTGTCTTGCCTGAGCTAACTTCTCATACCCCTCTGCAGCAATAAAAATGCAAATTAGGAAATGCCCTTACTCATGCAGCTCAAGAGAAATGTAAGTGCACCTAAGTGAAGCATCAATTGTTACTTCAAAAACCTAATATAAAATTTACAGCCTCCAAATCATCCTTATAGTAACTAAAAGGCAATGCCAGCAACCAGGGGAAAAATCTAGCATACTTTTTTGTTTTTCTTTGCATCCTCATCCCTCCACCCTCTTCGCCGGGGGGGAGGAGGGGCTTAACCAGTTTGACTAGGGAAAATAAAAGAATGGAATGTGGAGGAGACAGGACTTCCAACATATATTTTCCACTTCCCAAAGTATGATTATGGTAAGGAAATGCAGAGGTGGAGGAGGGAACAACACAATGGCAAGTACCTGCTTCCCGCTGGAAACTCTCTTGCTTTTCATCATACACATCTGTGAAACAGAAAATAGATTAAAACATAAGTTAAAACAGCCCTTGTTACTATATTCAAAGATTACCTTGCAATTTAGTTATAACGCAAACACACTTACTGTGGTCTCCATTCTCCATCAGCTTCATAGCATCTTCCGTTAGCTGATCAAACAGCTGCTTAGTTTCTGCAGACATTTTGCACTTTTTATTGTTTGAGGTACCTTTCAATCTCCTTAAAGCTTGCAAAACCTGTTGAAAGTATCAAATTTCTGCCCATGAGTTCTAAAGCAATAAAGAATATCAAGTTGATAGCACAAAGATTCTTGATAGAAGCACTCAAACATAACAAGTGGATATCATTATCTTACACAGCCTGCCAAATTTATATGAGCAATAAATACAGGAATGAAAATCAAATGACCAACTTGTATAGTGTAAAATTAACTGTAATGTTGAGAGAACTGGTTGCGATGCTAATTCTGTGTAAGCAAATGCAAATAGGCAACTGATTTATTTAGATGGAAAGATGAATTAAAATAAAACACCAGCTTCTAGAAAGCAATCTCAGCGTCCTGCTTTCATAAACAGTCCACAGTTCAAGGAATTATCAAAAACAAGATGAATGATCACAGCGCTGATGCCCCAGATGCAGACATGGTATAAGAACAAAAAAAAGAGCTAGGCATCTTGAAAGTAAAAGAGAAGGCATGAGTTTTCTGGTGTTCTCAAACAGTCAAACACAAGATATTTTTAAGATTTTAACCTTTCAAGCAAATAAATGAAACAATCATTCGTACAAAATCTTCTATCGTCTTCCTTTAATTGAATAACAACATGTACCTTCAAAGCAACCTATGAATCTAACAGGTTTATTATAGAGAATAGAGAATGCGGCCTGCCAACAAGAAAGTGGACTAGCATTCCAGATGACACACCTCTGCCTGCAGGCACCAGGAACCTTAGGTAAAGGCTTATGCACCAGATACTACAACCTTACACTGGAGGAATATTCTGGTTGACAAGGGCAGATGACCAAATGGGGGGGGAGGGGG